GAGCCATCCTTCCTGAGCTAAGACAAAAATGTGTGAGCCGGAGGCTAAAAACGTGTGAGCTAGTTCACGGTAACTCAGCTTATTTATTTTTTTTATTTTTTTTATTTACATTGCATTTATATACCGCCCATGACCCCTAATGGGTCTCAGAGCGGTTTACAGTGTACTGCTACTGGTATAGTCGCAGTAGTTAACCTACCTAGGGCCACAGATTTTTAGGAGGGGGGGCACTTCCCTACCGACACCCTTGTTAGCGGTGCGTTCTCTCTTCTTTCCAGAGGGTATGCTGGCGTCCTCAGCTGACCGGCACCACCTCAGGCGGCTCGATGTTTTTTCCTTCGTGTGCGACTACCCTCCGGCTGCAGCTTCCGGCTTGCGTCCTTCCGGCTCCTGCCGTCCTGCGCCGTCCTGCGCTCGCACCACCGTGGCTCCGCCTTCGTCAGGTCCGGTCACGAACTCCGCTGCCGCCACCATTGTTGTTGCCGCTACCGTCTCCGTCGCTGCTGCCAACACTCCTGGCCCGGAACCAGGAGGTGGTACCCCCTGCCGCCTAGGGCAGGTACCCATTTATCTACTTGTATTTTACCTTTCGAACCGCTGGGTTGGCGGGAGCTGGGACGGGGGACGGGAGCTCACTCCAGCCGTGGTGGGGATTCGAACAGCCATTGAGGCTGTTCGCTACAGATGTTACTAGCAGGTGTTGTACTGCCTGCGCCACCGCTCCCTGCGCTTAGAGAGAACACTGGCCACAGAACATGAACAAATATTACACGTTTCTACTGGTATATTGCTTTTTATTAACATTAAATGAGACTGCCAGAAATAATAACAAAAGCAGTAGAAGCAGATATTGATAATGATATTTATTTGTCCAATGATATTTGTTTGCTAATGATATTTAGCTTCCCCAGCCGCCCTGCCAGGAGCCGCACAATATGTGTACTGCCGCCTCTCTCTCGCCTCTCCCGTTGCCGCCGCCGCCGTTAGCCCTCCTGGCACGGAACCAGGAGGAGGGTGCCCCCTGCCTCTAAGGCAGGTACCCATTTCTCTACTTAATGTTATTTTTCGAGCCGCTGGGTTGGCGGGAGCTGGGACTGAGGGCCGGGAGCTCACTCCGGCCGCGGTGGGGATTCGAACAGCCATTATGGCTGTTTGCTATTGATGTTACTAGCAGGTGCTTAAGCTGCCTGAGCCACCGCTCCCGGCCCTGGATGGAGGGGTACAGTTACCAAATCAACACTGAGAAACTCCTGGAGATTTGGAGATGGAGCCTGGGGAGGACAGGGACCTCAATGGGGTACGATGCCAGAGTCCACCATCCAAAGCATCCATTTTCTCAAGGGGAACTGCTTTCTGTAGTCTGGAGATGAGCTGTAATTCCAGGGGATCCCCTGGTCCCACCTGGAACCTGGCATCCCTAGTAGTGTGGTGTAGTGGTTAAAGTGTCAGACTAGGCTCTGGGAAACCCAGTTTGGAAGCCCAACTCTGCCATGGAAGCTTGCTGGGTGACCTTGGGCCAGTCACACACTCTCAGCCTAATTTACCTCACAGGGTTGTTGTGAGGATAAAACAGAGGCGAGAACGATGAGTCCCCACTGGGGAGAATGGTGGAATATAAATAAAGTAAAATAAATAAATAAGTAGAAAGTCAGTAAAGACTAGATAAGATGCTCCTTGACCTTTCCTGGCCCTTTGTTACCCATAGGGTTGCCAAGTGTATCTTCGCTGGGAGCGGGGGACTCCCGGTTGGTGTCTTGTG